CATCTCTGCCAATGAGGAATGCCATATTGGCGTTTATAGCCTCCTGAACACCATTGGCAAGGGATGTTTTGTGAAGGTGAGGTTGGCCCGGCACATTTTGGCTGGTACAGAAGTAGCTGTGAAAGCTTTTACAAGGCAGGACTCCTCTGAAGATTTTAGAGAAGTTAACTGTCTTAAGAGCTATTAAATCACCCATTTTTTTTTTTTTTCTGAGAGGTGTTGGCCTCTTCCAGAAGCCATAGTTCAGGAAAAGGAAAAAACCAAAACCACTTTTTAGAAGTGACTCATCTTTAATATTCCATAACAAGTTTGAAATACTCCATCCATTCATTTTTAAAGAAATTCTTAATTGAGAATAGAAACCGCTTTGAAGAGAGAGGCAATCATGACCTGGAAAATTAAATGGAGTAATATACAAATAGGCTTTTGTCTGGCTGGAGGTTTTAGCTTATTCACGATGTGCTTTTAGGTTATCTGAGCAACACATGCTCCCTTTCCCCTACTCCATTGGCAGTGTGTGTTTTGAGGGGGCCAATATATGCTGAACATGGAAAACAGTTCCCCATGTGTTGCTTTTTTTCTGGTATGCATTACAAAATCTTTCTGACGTTTATTCTAAAAAACACTAATTACTTTTATCCTCCTTCAACACCCTTCGTCTTCTCACTTCATCTGTCTACTACTGTCTATCCAGCTTTCTTTTTTTGTGGGCCACACAAATATGTTGTGAATGAATAAAGTGTCAGCCCACTTCCAGCCCTTGTCCATGAAACAGCCTTCACCCAAGTCCAGAGAAAGTACCCTCTTCTCTTGATGCCTTTACAACTCATTGTCTCCATAATATAGCACCTTAGAAAATACATTATTTTCTCCTTGCTTTAAAAGTATCTTGTTCAACCTCCTTTGACCCCAACTGTGTTACAAGCTATGTGAAGAGTGCAGATTTCTAAGTCAGATGAACTTAAGAGGAAACCCCTAGTTCTGCCACTTTACACTTGTTGCACCCAAGGCACCTGGGTCTGATAGTTTTAAGGAAATCATAGGGATATTGAAAGGGGTAAAACGGATAGTTTATATGAAGCATAAAGCACACAATAAGAGCTCATTAAATTCTTGTACAAAGATTAATTCATTGATTCTTCTTTAGACTAAGCTTTCTCTTTTAGGAGAGGAGAAAGAGAAAAACCTTTTTTTCCCCTAACTGATGACACATTCCTCCACCCCACCCCCAAATTCATGACCCTTAGTTTCAGTGTCTTTGAAGATCCTGTGAACTTTCAATTGGTTTCAGTCTTGCAGCTTTATCAAATGTCATTGCTTTCGGTTTAATATTTTTTTAACAAACATTAATTGAGCTCTTATTATATGACACATATTTTCCTAGACACAATCAGGAAAAGGTCTATTAACATCCAAAACCCCTGTCTGCACATTTGTGAAATACTTTTTTAAGCCTGCATTGAAATAATACTCCTCCCTCCCTCCCCCCTATACATATATCACTTAAAAAAATTAGCATGGGCAGGGGAAGAAAGTATATAAAGAGAGAACTCAATAGATTTCAGCTTCCTAGATCACTTTCAGCAGGCTAAGCACCTAGGCTAAATGATACTGTTTGTGCAAGGTGTAAGTCAGGTCCCACATTTCATCCTGCAACATTAACTTATTTTTGTACCCAAGTCACTATGCCTAACTTTACATCATTCGAGCCCCTTTGCTTTCATTTTATTAGCTATGGATTCACCATTTTAACTCATAACTTCTAGTTTCCCCTATTTTATTTTCCCATATGCAATCCATTTAGTTATGAAACAATTGATTCAAAGGCAATATTTTGCTAGCCTAACAATATTAACAGTCTACTGCCAAAGAGTCCTGACTAATTTATCTTTTCAAAAGACACAGTATTCATGCAGTTTTCTAATCAAGACGGAGGCACTTATTTAGACTTAAAAGATAAGAAAAAAAAGGCAAAACAACTTTACATTGATGATACCAAAAGCTCAATAATTGTTTCTTCCCACTTACCTGGTATAGTAACAAATATCCATCAGTTTCTTGTTGATTTTGGTAGTTTCACAGAACTTACAAGTTGAGAAATACTGTGTAGTCACTTGTTTCACAGACTGAGGTCCATGGGCCAGCAGCAGCTGTATAACCTGGGAACTTGTTAGGAATGCAAACTCTGGGGCCCACTCCGGGCCAACCGAATCAGAATCTGTATTTTAACAGAATCCTCAGGTCTATAAGCCTCTTAACATTTTTGAAGCGCCACTCTAATTTACCTCCACCTCCACCCTCCTTTTAAGAGATGAGAAAGTTCAAACTCAGACTCATGTGGAGCTAAGAGTGGAATCTTAGCCCCCAGCCTCTAAGTTCACTGCTCCCTTCTGTACTCAGGGCTGCCTCCACAGCTCCCTGATTCTTAGGCTGGAAGTAGGTGGCTATTGCCCAACTGCTCACTACAGGTACTTGTCTTGCCTTACTTTCCTGGCTGATGTTTGGTGGCCTAGACAAGTAGACTTCAAGTTTAGAGAATGACTTTCTCTTTAACACCCATTTCTCTGGTGTGGTGAGCCTTTGGCTTAACATCCAATATTGCACAAAGCCTCTGAGATAATCATGAACACTTAATAAGGACAGAATCCTTTTATTGTCCTTTCCCTTGTCAGCATCTATGATAGGAATTTTACCATCTGACAATCTTTCCCTATCTCCCAGCTCACGATTGTATAGTACATCTCCACTCATACAAGGAGGATCGAAAAGGCTGAGCCAAACCCTGTTAACAAAACAGTCCCCTGAAGGGCTATAATATTGCTCAGTGGTAATATCATCCCTATGCATTTTATCTTGTACATGAAATCTGGGCTAATTATCATTTTCTCTTACAGTACATTTTAGACCATTGTGTTTTTGTGTCCCTGCCTAGTTCATTAAGCAGGGTTTTACAGCTCCTCCAGTAACAGGATTGCTATTGACACTTTCATTAGGCCCATAATTCAAATGCTTGTCTGCCTTCCAAATGGAAGCCTCTCAGTCCAGAACCACAATCTGGCCACCGACCGTATGTTGGCTTTTAGAACTGTCATAAACTCATCATCACGTTCAAGTTCTCGAAGGGTCAAAATCTGCTTTCTTGGTGAACTGTCTCCATCCAACAAACAGTGAATGTTTTCTCCAAGAATAGTCAGCCAAGCTTTCTCTGTGGCTCTCTCAAAACTCTTCCAAATGGTTCTCAGTATAGTGGGACTGTAACACAAATAATCATTGTCTGTATTTAAATATTAATTTTCTGGTGCATTCACTCATTCATCCGTTCATTTTTGTTATTTCACCATTTAATACCCGTATACCTAATATTATGGCAGATGCTGGAATGATTTAAAGATGAATGGGATGGTCTCTGCCTTGGAGTATCTCATAGTTTAGTAGGTGTGTGAATAAATCATTATCCAATTGAGAGGAATGTGAAAATTTTCCCCACTAGGTTGCCAGCAATTGGAATGGCTATCAGTGTACATAGCTGTGCTCTAACTAATGGTTGCTATTAACACTGTTTTCTCACCAATGGCTCAAATGGAAATAGTCTCAATCGGCCTAAATAAAACTGCTTTTATGTATGAAATAGATCACAGACTACAACTTAGGAGCAGATGAAACAGAGGCACCAGAAATGACTCTTATGGATAAGAGAGAGACATGGGGCTGGATCAGAGAGACAGCCATTGCTCTAGTCATGGTGATAAATAGTCTTTGCTTTTTTAGTTGTATTTTGTTTTTCTTTCTGGCAAGTTTCAAGAAAAGGTTAAATGCAAATATTTGATCTAATTGGCAGTAAAGCTTTTTAGGAGTGCTACTAGACACAAAAAGTTCTGCTTTTAACTTTTGAGGAAGTAACACTTTCATTTCAAGTGAAGAAGCAGGAAATCTAAGCAGGCTTTTGTAGCTTCAATGTGCAGTTGAGGTTTCCAACCTTTACAAATGACCTCTAGCTATTTAATTGAACATACAATTGTAGACCATATATTTCAATGTACAGTTAACTGTGTCTGATTTAAAAGGCTGCTTTGCTTTCTGGCCAAATAATAGAAAAAAATTGTTTGGGGCTAGTTTTCACCTTCCTTATATCATTGCCTTTAAAATAAAAGAAAGAGGAAGAAATGGAAAAAGTGAAAGTGTACCTGAACACACACACTGGGTTACCCGCTTCATTTGGTTTACTTCAACCATTTTCCTAGCTGGACTCCTGAAATAGGCAGACCCTTGGCTGGAATGAACTCAGACCATTAAGCAGAAGAAGGATGCAAAGCTGGACTCTATCGCTGATTGGGATAACGTGGCTTCAATTTGCAGTAATACTGCCGTGGTGTTAGAAAATGACTTCAGCATTCTTCCAACGCATTTCATTCGACTGCGCGCCTTCATAAACATGTCCAATTGCATGATGGAGGTCAACGACAATGTAGGGTTTAGAAATTGTTGCTTGGAAATCACACTCACTTAAATACCTGAATCTGTCCATCAGCCAAGCCATAGCGTGTTCCAAGCCTGTGCAGAAGAGTGATTTGCAATCTCCTTGCTTTTCATTTCAAGTAGCATCACTCACTTTAAGCCAGATATTCAGGCCTCTTCAGAAGCCTCGGGGTGAAGGACAAGTAAGAAGAAGCTTATCAAATCTTTCACAACGGTGGCTGCTTTTCCCGCATCAAACTTGTTCCATCCTTCTGTGGTATTTTATTTAAAAACCACACTTTTTTTTCCTTTCATGTGACAAATAATAGGGATTTTGCCACATAAATTCATGATCCTTATGGCTCTTTTGTGGTGCTACACAGTTACTAGATCACTCTCCAGGTTGAAAAGTGGGGCAGAATTTCTGGGGTTGGAAAAGAGGACATAATATTTATTTTTTTCAGATTCTTTCCCTTTGAATTCTCTTCTATAAGATCAGGCTGCATAACTAAATTCTGTGTTTTTTTTTTCTTTTTCACTTACAGGGACTCACCAATTTGGGCTCCTTCCAGAGCTGAAAACTGGTTACAAATATGAAACAGATTTCACTACTGGACTTGAACTCCCATAAAAAAACAACACGATTCTCAAAATAATTGAAAAAGATCTTCACCAAAGAGAAGATGCAGTGTGAATGGCAGGGAATCAAGGAAGTAAGAGGTAAATTACTAGGGAAAACATGGCTGCTGTGTGGGCAGGTATATAGGAAATATGCTTCTAGGCTGAAGGTAGCATCTTTCTCAGTGGAGGGTCAGGGGAGGGAAGATCTTTTTTGATTAGCAGCACAGACTGGATGGACCCCGGCTCTTCTTTCCCTGCATCTGTCTGTCTAGCTATTCATTATAGAAACATTGAGAAATGCTGGATACTTTATAAAGACATCATTCTGGGAGAGGGATGTGCTTAGCAAAGGAAACAACTTTCTCAGTGAACACTTGTGGGGAACATTTGGCAAATTATTGTTCTTCAGAAATTGTGCAACCCCATCTTAAAAACCTATATCCAGGATGACAAGAGATCAAATCAGGTGCAAAGATACTCTGTTTATCTTGATGCTGCGGGGAAAAGGAAAGTGGGGTGGGCTCCCTAGAATATACAAAGGCCATCTAGGGTAGGCATCTGCCATTTAGCTTTTCCTGGTATGAAAAAGGTGTGTGTGGGGGGGAATATATATATGAATGGAGTGTTCCTTGTCCTTTTTTTCTTTTCTGGCCTATTAAAGAGTTTAGTGGCTTCATCCATTCTGTCCTGACAGGAAGCATCTGTGAGTTGCCAGATTTGTGTTTTGGGCTTTTGTGACATAGAATCTGATGAGTAGGGAAAGGATAGAAGGCAAAAAAAAAAAGCCCTGGTGACCTATTCCCATGAGGAAAATGGTGAGCTTGGAACATAGTAATGAAAGGCAGTCAGTCTCCCAGGAAAAGGGCCGAAGTGAGGTGGGTGTGGTGCCTGAGCTGTGAATGTGAGAGACTGTGTTTGAGTGAGGATGCAGCAGGCAGATTTGAGGAGTTGATGGGAGTGATTTTGAGAGGGGCAATGGAGCTTGAACGTGGAGCATGTGAGCTCCTGGAGTGAACTATTCGAGAAGGGCTGGGATTAGAAAATAAGAAATGGGAGGTGTTAATAGTGGTTACCGTGGGCCGTATTCTTGAATCTCCTTTATTGCTTCAATGAATGAGTGAAGGGCGGAATGTAAGTTTGGGTCTGAACTCATGGGTGCTGCCTTTGATAAAGTTTCACACATAAAGCAAATACTCCACTGGGTATCTAGGCCATGGGATTCTTTTACAATAAATCACAGTGTCTTCTCAACGCCCATGCCTCCACTCAAGCACCGATATTCAGTTCTCCTCATAAGGTCTAGTTTGAAAAAAGCAGATCTGAGAAGGGATGTCCTGAGCTTTAACCCTGGGGAACCACTCACTAGCTCCAGGACCCCAGAGCACTCATCTGAGGTAATGACGGGTGCTAGTTGTGGACAGGGGACTATGGAGTCATGCAGAGCTTGTATAAGTTCCATAATCTTCATTAGGCATTATTTCCTGCTTCTATAATGTTGAGGCGTTAGGAGAATCTCCCTCATGGGCTTTTTAATGAGACAATGTATGTGAAGCTTCCCAGTGATGGGTTCAATAAATATTAGTCACTACTGTTATAGTTGCTATTATTATTATTATCAATGATGGTGACATCATTCATTCCTGGCCCTCAGTTCCCTCATCTTTAACATGAGAAGCTACAATAAAATGTTCTCTATGCTCCCTTCGAGATCTAAAAATAATTCCTATGCTTCGCGAGCTTAGGAACACCAACCACAGGAAACAGGCAGTAGGCCATGAGAGGACTCCTTTTGCCCTACATCTCTTAGAAATAGTTGGGTTCTTTTAAAAATGCTACCCCCTGGAGAGAGCCCAAGATTTCCTTTAACCTGTGCTTCACCAACTTTAGCATCTTCCTCAGCATGACTTGTACACCTACAGAGTAAGAAAAAAAGAGTTGGAGTTCTCCTTCCACCTGTAAACTCTACTTGAACTATTTGTGCTTTACCTTCTGTGTATGGAAACACCAGTTAGCAGTTCTGCCTTTTCCTAAGAATATCAATAGCTGCAAAGTATATTTTCCTTTCTCCTCCCACTCTTGTTCTTCCTCCTTCTTTTAAGGGCATCACAACCTAATTCTTCTGGGATATGAAACAGACCATCCCTTTCAAAGATTCTTGAGCTCTTCCCCCCCCCCCCCCTTGGTAGCCTCTTGCCCACAGAAATGTAATATCAACAGAGTTGTTTATTGGTCCAAGAATATATCACAGTCCCTAAATACATGAAATTAAAAAAAGAAAGAAAGAAAGGAAATCAACATTGTTCTGAAAGGAAGGTAGTTAAAATTCAGAAAGAGAGATTCTTTAATTAACTTAATAAAATTACTAATGGAAGCATTTTAACTGCTAAATTTAATTTACTTGTCAAGATATCAGGCTACAAAGAGGAGGGAAGAGTAGGAACTCTGCTTTCCATTATGATGTACTCTATTATAGAATAAATTTGCTTAAAATGAAATATATCACCAAAAGCCATCAATGACATCTTAATTTGGAACAGCCAGTTGAAAAGTAATTAGACTATGGAGCAATCAGTTCTAGTAAATCAGTGTTTCCCTTTACATAAACATACTATGTTTTCTTCGAGTTATATATAGGGAAGACTTTCAGGTAGTAGGCAGGCAAAGACTCTGATTCTTTTTGGCTGCTGGTGTTTTTACTTTACATTACCAAGCTGTCAAAACAAAAAGTTTTATGATGGGATTAAAAAATGTATAAGTATCTGATTTGATTTACTGTTTATATTTATACTAGAGGCCCGGTGCATGAATTCATGCACCGGTGGTCTCTTGGCCTGGCATGCACACTTTCACAATCTGGGACCCCTGCAGTGGTTCTCAACCTTCCTAATGCCGCGACCCTTTAATACAGTTCTTCATGTTGTGGTGACCCCCAACCATAAAATTATTTTCGTTGCTACTTCATAACTGTAATTTTGCTACTGTTATGAATCGTAATGTAAATATCTGATATGCTATATGTGTTTTCTGATGGTCACAACCCACAGGTTAAGAACCGCTGCCTTAGGGGATGTTGGAGAGCCAATTTAGGCCTGATCCCCTCAGGCCAGGCCAAGGGACCCCACTGGTATACAAATCGGTGCACCAGGTCTCTAGTATGCATATAAGATCATTGGTTAATCTCTTCCTACCCTTCCCCTCCCCCCTTCTTACTGAGATTCATCAGTTTGTACCATGTTTCCATGCTTGTGCGTTGAGCATCTGCCCCCTGGTGGTAAGTGTACGTCATAGCTACCGGTCAAATGGTTGAAAGGTTGAACGGTTGCTTAGGCTTTTATATGTTTAGACTAGAGGCCTGTTGCATGAAGAGATTCGTGCAATAGGCCTTCCTTCCCCTGGCTGTCGGCACCGGTTTTCCTCCGGCACCTGGGACCCAGGCCTTCTCTCTGGCCTCAGTGGAGAAGCCAAGCCTCTTCAGTTTTCAGTCATCTTCAGTCTTCAGTCATCTTCAGTCTTCAGTCGTCTTCAGTCTTTGCTCGGGCCAGAGCCTTCAGTCTTTGCTCTGCGCCTGCATATGCAAATTAACCGCCATCTTTGTTGGGTTAATTTGCATAGTCATCCTGATTGGCTGGTGGGCGTAGCAGAGTGACACCAATTTGCATGTTTCTCTTTTATTAGTGTAGATGTTGAACTGAGGAGAGTTTACTTATCATAGGGGTTTAAAGATTTACATTTGTCTGCTTCTTACTTCCAAAATGCTTCCCAGACACCGGCAGCCCTGGCACCTTTCTTCAATGAATGAGGCCAAATCAACATCAAACAAGAGCCCTGCTTCTTCCTGTCAGGTGCCTTCTACCTCATGCAAATAAAGCTGGAGAATGAGACGTGGATGGGGGATGAAGATGGGAGGAGTTAAAATTATCCTTTTTTTCAGTGTCTGACAGTTCAACATTAGGAATTGCTCAAAATGTAACTGACCTTCCTAGAGGTGTATGTGTTTGTTTATTATTATAAAAACTCATAAAGGGGATAGGTGAAAAAGAAAATTTATATTTCACCTGGTTTTAAAAAGTTAACATAATTTAGCTAAGTGGTGTCAAAAATCCAGCTACCAAACTTCTTCACATTAGGACACTCTCATATATATCTTTTCTGATCACCTCAATACACCTCTGAAAAAGACATTTGCATCTTAAATTTTCAAACATGGAAATGGAGCTCTGAGAAGTTAAGTGACCCATGGAGAAGGCAGAGGTAGTTAATAAGAGAGCTGGGGCTAGAAAGAGGGCTTCTGGGTTCCTGGTATCTTTTCCACAACATCTGCTTCTGATGATGGAATCCCATCTGTTATATGCCAAGGGGAAGAGGTGTGAGAAACATAACTAGAGGAGATATCAATCACTCAGCAAAATATTTATGAAGGACTTCATTCAGATATTAGGGGAGTCACCATTGTCATCAGCCCTGGAAAATCAGAGAGGATGATGAATTATACCAAAGAGAACATTAACTCAGAAGATAGAGACTGCCGTGCAATGTCATGCTTATGCTAGTGTGTATTATTTTGGAGTGGGAGAGAATGAAATGTGAGAGGAAGATAAAGGACAGTTTTATAGTGAGCAAATAAGCCACACCTTGTTATAAAGGGAGAAATGTGGGGGTGCCTCTGAAACACAGTCCTAGGATCTGCCAGTATGTAAATCACCTAACAGTCCTAACAGTATGCAAATGACCTCACCCTAATAGAGTCAATCATTTCCATTCTCTCCACTGCCTATTTAGGAATGTGATCATTGATAACAACACTACAAGGTACTATTCCTAGTTGAAAAACACAGTGGGAGGAAATCTAACACTTACGATGCCATGGGAGTAAGTATTAACATTCATAAGTGTAGATAGGTGTGAAGTAGCCAAGACAATATAATTAAAGTGCAAAAGTGAGCTCTGTTGCACTGGTACAGTGAGAGAAATTGCAGGGTCCCTCTGGTTCTTGAATTCTAGTGAAAATGCAGTCTGTCATCCCCAATGGCTGCTCAGGATCCGTGTATAACAGGACAATTGCCCTGGGAGTGGAGAAGGCAGGAACTGGATAAAAATAG